CAGACCCTTTCCCAGTCTCACCAGCCAGAACCGAGAAACTGTCTCCAAAGACTGGACCTGGGGCAAATCAGCTTGGGGTCCTAGGGTAAGGCAGCTCCCTCCAGAGCGGTGGGGACAGCGGGTGGGGGGGGGGGGGGGGGGCACAGCAGACACACAGAGTAGGTCAAAGGGAAGAGAGTCCAAGAGCGCGGCCTCTCCTCACCCGCATCGCAGGTGTGGCCCTAACCCTCCGGGTCCTGAGCCTCACCCCGTACCCTAAAATACAAGTCTCCCGCACGCAAGCCAGCTCCAGAGCACCCGCACTGCGCGGCACCACAGCCCTCACCAGCACTGAGCCCGCAGCGTGTGCGCAGCTCCTGTCCATGGCGAGCCCAGGCCGCTGGCTCCGAGGGAAGGAAAAGAGGATGAAGCACGACGATCCCTACCGCCGAGGAGCGCACCGGCTAGTGTGGGACCTCAGCCGGCGTGTTACAGGGCACACAGTGCAAGGAAGGAAACAGGCCTGGGCAGAAGGCAAGGGGCCGGGAGCCTTTTTGAGGAGTGGACTCCTTGCGCCGAACGTCAGAGATGGAGCCCTGCTTTGGGGAGCGGACGCCCCCGGCAGAGGTGACCGCGTGCCCAGAGAGGGGCGCGCCAGCATGGTGGGGGGGGGACATATGCATGGGGGGCCGCACTGGGTCAGGCGGGGATGGGGGAACGGGAACAGGACACGGGCCTCAGGAGGCTTGCTGTTTAGGGGGAAGCCACGTGGGAAGTTCGGTACAAGTCCAGGAGAGCAAACTAGAGACTTCCCAACAATCACTGCAAAACGAGGGGTGCCTGAAACGGCAGAGGAGCTGAGAGGAAGGAGAATGCCCTTCCGGCTGAGAGCTTTACCAGAGGCTCTCAGGACGAGCAGAGCGGTCAGGCCTTGAAGCACTGTGCGGACGCAAACAGGCGGCGCCTGGCCACGTTCTCACACAACACGCTGTTAAAAATATTCAGGATTCTGCACGGCTCCAGGTTTCTTCAACTGCTTGCACACCAAACTCATTCGATGCTCATGAGCACACTGAGGGGTAAGGAATGTACTAGAATTGCTGTCTGGTTATAGGGAAGCAGATGCAGACTGAGTGAGCCCCTCAGGTCACAGAATTAGCGAGGGGCACAAAAGCTCGGGCCTTCCCCCCACGCCCCAGCCCCGGCCCCCATTAATAAGGGACAAGGGGCAGGGACAGAGAACCACACGTCAGAGTAATCCCAACCCTGCTCTGGAGTTTCTGGGCCAACCCACATTACCTTCTCCCCTACAGGCACTCAGAGGATTGAGAGTCACTCCTGAAGACGGAGGGATTCCCTAGGTCTTCTGCACATGACTAAAATCTCCGAGAGGGCAGACGCCACGTGATGGTCCAGCCGTTCGGCTCAGTTCCTGGTCCACAGTTAGGAGTGTGTTCACACTCATTTCAATGACTGAATGAGAATAACTAGTAGACCAAACAGAAGGGAAAGGGGGGAAAGGGGAGGTGGGGACAGAGGTCCATCATGGCCTTGAGGGCAGCCTTCTGACATCTGGGGGCGACCTGTCCAAAGCTCTCCTCTTCCTCTGCGGCCTTGAGTCCAGAGGGCAGGCAGAGGTGGGGAGAGAGAGACGCCCTCCCAGAGAAGGAGGGCGGCGGGAGGGACCGAACAGGGGGATTTGGAGGCAAGCATGGGCGTACAAGGTCCTGGTAAACGACACGGTCGTACCTACATGTCACGTGTGATCCGAGGTCTGAACCCTAAGCACCTATTGTGATTTTCTACTTGGAGTTCCGCTCCGTCGGGACGATGGCCTGCTTGCTGGAATTTTCCCGTGCTCCTGGTGGAGCACACACACTCTCTGGCTTCCTCCTGTGGTCGCCCTACAGTGGAACCGGCCCCCAGGAGCCCGGCGGGGATCCTCGCCTCACCCTGCAACTAACTGTCCACTTACTTTTTTTTTTTTTTTTTTTTTAAATATTTTTATTTATTTCTAGGAGAGAGAGAGACAGCGTGAGCAGGGGAGGGTCAGAGAGAGAGGGAGACACAGACTCTGAAATAGGCTCCAGGCTCTGAGCTGGCAGTCAGCACAGAGCCCGACGCGGGGCTCGAACCCACGAACCGCGAGATCATGACCTAAGCGAAAGTCGGACGCTTAACCGACTAGCCACCCAGGCGCCCCTGTCCACTTACTTTTTAACCTCCGTAAGGCAAGGCTGAAAGAGCCAAAAAGGACCGGAAGGGCCGGTTGGGGACGCGGGGGAAGGGACGGCACCCCCGGCCCACCCTGCGGTCCTCCGGGAGAAGTCCCAGCTCCCTCCGTTCTGACCGCCCCCCGCCCTTGCACTCAAGCTGGCACCGACTGTGGGGAAGCCTCGATGGGCCCCTGGTGCCAAGAGGCACAAGCGGTTCCGTGTGGCACGGCGTCTGAAGGAGACGCAGCTCTGTCTCACCCTCCGGAGGGAACGCCACCAGCTCCTGCGACAAACATTCCCACACTCCCCTCTCTGTCGAGGTCACGGAGAGCGCCCGGCTGCAGGCCAAAGCGGCCTCTCCCGCGCGACCACTGCAGACACAAAGCGCAGAGCCAGCCGCCCCGCCGGCCACCCAGGTCCCAGCTCGCCTGCTGCCTGGTACCGCAAGGCTGTCGCTTTGAGCAGGAGCCCAGGCCAGGGCACCTATGCTCTGCTTTACTCTCCTCTTCCTCACGGACTTCCCTCCAGCTCCTTCACTTTTAGGGAGAAAAAAAAAAACCCTCACAGTGGGGAAGTGATGACCCCATGACAGAGGACAGGCCAGAACCGAGACGGACTCTTACGTAATCAAGGCAGAGCGGCAGGCACAGAACAGAGGACGGAGGCCTTCAGAGCTCTTCCTACGCATCCTGTGACTTGAGGGTCCCCTGTGGTTTTCAGGCAAACTTTCCATTCACAGAAAAAGCACTTCCTTCTAATGACCCCTGACCCCTGAAGTAACCTCAGACACACACCCACAGGCCCGTGCACCCGCAACGGGTCAATTCCACGCGTCAGCAGGCAGAAGCCACACACACGCCCAGCCTTCCTAGGCCCTCAGATCTCCTAGCGGAGCAGAGCGAGAGCTGTTTCATCGGCTCATGAAGACACTGTAAAAAATAAATGAATGAATGAGTGTGTGTGTGAGGGGGGGGGTTAATTTAATTTAACTAATCATGTTAAATTAGTTTTCCAAGGGGAGCCCCACGCGTTAGCCAGAGCAGTTCTGGCTATAAGAACCCTGGGCTGTGACACCGAGGGGAGCTCTGCAGGCCCCTGACACACAGAGCTGGACAACGGGAACACAGGGGAGTCTCATCCGGAGCTCTGCTTCTCACCAAAGGCGGTGGGCAGAAACGTTTTCAAAACACGTAGGCTCTCCGCGAAATAAAACTGACACCAAAATGAAACGGGACCTCACCTATTCCATCGCTGGGGGCCTTAAAAATCCCTGCTGCGAAGATGAAGCCATTTGGTTTTCTAAGAACACTCATGGTATCCAACTGACTCGCTTTAAAAGAAAGCCCCCCCACCCCACAGCCCTTGGCCACAGAGGTCTGCCCAACCCGCGTTCAGCAGGAGGTACGTGCAGGATGCTTACGTTCTGGTCCCTTCGTAGGACAGGAAGTCTTCCCCTCAGTGCACCTAGACCCTCCCCTAAGTGTGAAGGGCAATACCCCTGCCCCCTCAGCTTCTTTCCGCCCAAGCATCCTTTCGTCCCGTGCCCCTCTACGCCCCGCCCCCGCCCCGGGGCATGCCGCCTTCGCCCAGGATTCAGGGGTGGGCAGAGGAGCATGTACCTTGAAACTACCCTCTTGCTGAGACGTCACTAATTCTTTGTTTCCTCTTTTTCTGGAGTTGAGATATACTATCACTTTATAATCAGCATTTTACTAAAAAGCTATGCTCATGTCAGGCGGCTATAAATTAGAGATAAAATTATTTTTGGTACAGGACTTCTCTGTGCATTTCACATATCCCCCCAAGGTCAGCAAATGGCAGACAACTCGGGCAGGAATTCCTTCCTACATGTTTTCTCTCCGATCTCCAGCCGGCTGGGAAGTTCTCTGGGGGCAGAGCCAGTCACTGAATGAACGTAAAGCATTAACTGCAGGCAGCGTTCTGCTTTAAGAAGTTTTCTTCTGGGTGTATTTTTTTGTTTTAAAAATGAAACACTCTTGGACATGCTTCTATGCAGAAGTACCAGCGGGTTTCAACGACTCAGCTCTGAGTTCTTTCCCAACAGTTATTTCACGTGATAGGGACAGAACGAACCATCCGAATTACAAGTCCCTTATTTCCCGACCTCCCTCCTCGTCGGCGCAGAGACCTCACCTCAGCCCGCGGGCTCCTGCATGTCTGAGCTGAATCAGGGCCCTGTGCCAGGGTCTGTAACTGCCCAATGAACTGTCACCACCGTGTGGCACAACGCGGCCCAGGCTGGGTAGTGGCCAACCGTAGCCCGCCACCTCTCTTGTCCCAATTCCAGGTGACGGAATGCTCCCTAAAGCCACCCGACACTGACTGGCCCGTCAGGAAGATGCAGGAGTCCAGCAAGACATCGGCAATTGGGGCGCCTGGGTGGCTTAGTCGGTTAAGCGTCCGACTTTCGCTTAGGTCATGATCTCGCGGTTCGTGGGTTCGAGCCCCGCGTCGGGCTCTGTGCTGACTGCCAGCTCAGAGCCTGGAGCCTATTTCAGAATATGACTCCCTCTCTCTCTGACCCACCCCTGCTCACGCTGTCTCTCTCTCTCCTAGAAATAAATAAAACATTAAAAAAAAAAATTAAAAAAAAAAAGACATCGGCAAGCACTCTCTCTTCTGGTAGGTAAACTCAGACGTTTTGTTCAAAAACGGTTTCATTCCAACTGACACTGAGGAAAAAACGGGGGGAGGGACTTTTACTGAAACCTATTTGGCAAGACGAGGCCTCAGAAAGCAGCAGGCTTCGAGGTGAACAAGGGCTGCATAAACGGAAGCCGAATCTGAACTATCAACAGAGGTTGTTCTTTATTCCAGAACTAGGCCTCAGGAAGGACCGAGCACACTGCTGAGGAGCCGGTGGCGGGGCGGGCGGGTACCGTCGTGGGCGGTGTCTCCACCCAGGCTCAGCTGCTTTGCAAACCGGGACGCATTTTCGAACAACCCCTTCAAGACGCTGTTCAGAGCTGAACTCTGCGCTCCTGCGCAACCAAAAGATGCTGCCCCGCAGCACAACGGCACCGGGTGCGGTCAATCAGTTTATTGGGAAAAGCGGGCTTCAAGCGCCGGCGCAAGAAGGCGGTTCTCGCTGCGGTCAGCAGCCCGTGTCCCGGGAGCACGCTGCGCAGGGCGCGCCCGGCGGGCCGGGCGCATGGTGCCAGCCGTCAGGCGGAGTGTACCGGCGTCCCGCAGTGCTTGTGCCACAGGTCGATGGCCTTGCTCACGATCGCGTCCGAGCTGTCCTGGGGAATCTGTGGACAAGCAAACCAGTCTGCGTGAAATTCCAGGCTTTATAGCTTGCTCATCTCCCTCGCTCACTGTGGCACGGCACTTAATTCCCACCCAAGCTTGCACTACGTGTCAGAAAGTGAGCGTGTAAAAAACTGCCACTAGGATCTCTGTTTCACGGGCCGCCTGACGACGCACTGAGGAGCTGCAGACAGACTGCCTGGGCTTCAAACCTGCCCGGCCCACTGCGTGCCCCTGGGCAGGTTCCCGAAGCTACCAGAGCTCACACCCCTTGTCTACGCTGGGGCAAATGACAGCCTCACTTCCTAGGGCTGCTCGGGACTGCACGGGAGAACCCATGAGAAGTACTCAGCATGCGCCCTGGCACTGTCAGCCACCAATACAAGGCGGGTGACTCATTCATTCGTCACACATTCACTGAGGACTTGCTATTTACTGAGCCACTATTCAAATGTCAGTAGTGACCAATTTAAAAAAGAAGAATAGATCTGGGGTCCAGTGAAATTCATCCAGGCATAAATCTCTTCTACCTCTTGCCTGGTTACGTGTATTCTAGGGCACACAGAGATTCATTTAGACCTTTTCCAACCTGCTCTAAGTATACACTTACGCACATTAACAAACCCCACTGAGATGCAGCCAGAGACAGTAACAGTAATGAAAAGGCTTACAAAGTCCTCCCAAAACATCAGGCTTTCTTTCCACTAAAAAGGATTACTCAGCCTCACATGACAGACCTCAGCTCTTCCTCTTCTCAGCAAGCCTCCTGGTGGTCACACCAGGGGAGGAGACTCTGGTCTTCAGCACGCACACCCGCGACAGCAGCTTACTGCTCAGACCATCACCCCCCAAAGAGAGACGCAGATTACAATCCACAGACCCAACTTTAAGTTCTACTTTTCCAAGGGGAAAAAGTGTTTCTTAGAATGTAAAAATATCAGAGAATGTAATGCAACAGAAAAATCTGGCTTGCGAAACGACTTCCTTTCTAGGTTCAAAATCAAATTTTAAAAAAGCACACAGGGCACCTAGGTCCCTCAGTCGGTTAAGCGTCCGACCTCGGCTCAGGTCATGATCTCACGGTTTGTGGATTTGAGCCCTGAGTCGGGCTCTGTGCTGATAGCCAGCTCAGAGCCTGGAGCCTGCTTCAGATTCTGTATCTCTCTCTCTCTCTGACCCTCCCCGGCTCACACTGTCTCTCTCTCTCTCTCTCAGAAATAAATAAAACATTAAAAAAAAATTTTTTAAAAAAGCACACTTACATTTTCCAGAAACTTTGTTATCTTCTCCGCACTGTTCAGAGCCATTACTTTTATTTTAAAGGTTAATAAAATCTCCACAGCTACAAAAACTAAGATCTTACAGGATCCACTTATAACTTTATCCCAAACCCTATAAAAACAAAGTGATATAATAAAATTATTTGTTTGAAATTTATGTTTAGCTAAACATCTCAAATTACAGCATTAATTCAAATTACTTCTTTTAAGTATAAACTTCAGAGAAAAGCTATAATGAAATAACCATAAAAAAACAAACAATCAGCCATCTGAAACTTATTTCAGACACAATTAGCACTGGAAAGGAAAAAGGAACGATCACTAAAAAGTACTTGCTCTGCAAGGGATCTATCAAACACCCATTCCCTAATTTTCAACCTGACGTTTTAGGGAAGGAAAGCCTTTTTTTTTTATGTTTATTATGTAATTTTTTGACAGAGAGAAAGAGAGACAGAGAGAGAGTGTGAGCAAGGGTGGGGCACAGAGTGAAGGAGACAGAATCCAAAGCAGGCTCTAGGCTCTGAGCTGTCAGCATAGAGCCCGATGTGGGACTTGAACTCATAAACCGTGAGATCATGACCTGAGCCCGAGTTGGCCTGCCCGGGCGCCCCGAGGGAAGGCAAGTCTTAAACCGAAGTTTGGATTTTACTAATACTGTGTAGCACTAAGATAACCATTAAACACTAAGGAAGACAAAAGCAGCATGTGAAACGACATCAACGCAATGGTTCCCGTGTTCAAATTCCTAAGACTCTTCTAAGAGCTTAAGGAGCTAGTTACTGGTCTCCCACTCTAAAATAATTACGCTGGTAGTTCCTAGAACTCTTCAAGCTGGTGTCCCACTCAGTGTGCTTCGTCACGCACTGTCTTGTGACATTCTCTGCGTGTTACCTTCCCTCCCAACTACCTCACACGGGCTTGGAGGGAGAAGGCCCAGGAATAGTGGCAACATGTGTGTGAAATGAATGAGAACTGAGATGAGTCTTAGATCTCCGCCTGCCTTTAGCTACTTTAAAGGTGTCATGATGGAACTAAGAAATAAGGCAGTTTTCTCTGGATTAGGATCTCCCACATTTCTGGAAAAGAAAAACCTATCCTCATATAACCTCCTGGAGACCATTTCAAATGTGAATAACCTACAGCATCTAACATACCGAGGGCCTTCAAGTTTTCTAATGTACATTCTAATATTTCTAGCATGAACATTAACTCTGTTACGGGTTAGATTAACATTACTAATGTTCTCGTATTTCCATCTGTATACACAGTAAACAGAAACAAGTGTTACTCCGTTGTCCACCAGAGGACTTAGCTTCAAACTCTGGTACTGTTCTAGAGCAAATTCATACTCTGAAGGATGATCTCCTGGGAAACCGGGGCCCTTCTGTGACCCCAGGCCTTCAGAACACTTGTGAAAGAAAACACTTGCCTCTGTAAACTGGACTCAGGCAAGCACCCTGCGAAGCACCTCTTGAACCAGAGATCGTAAGGAAGTTTGCACAGGGCAGAACACGTCTTCAGATGACTCAGCAGTCGGCTATCTTCCAGATTCAGGTATTGTTCAAAAGCCTTTGGCTAACGATTAAAGAGGAAGAGAGATTACTTGTTTCCCGTGACATAACGTTACCCAATCTTACAGCCTGTGGTAAATCCAATGTTCATGCTGACTGCAAGTAAGTGCTAGAAAACAAAATTTTAGACTCATCCAAGTCATTAGTGACGCAAGTTTCCCAGGTCAGCACCATCGGAGCAACCAGCAATCTGGGGCTGAGTGAGGGCTTTTCCGGGCAAAACGGAACAGTGGTTCCTCTAATGCTAACGGCACTGATACAGTTCAACTGAAGGCCAAAGTCCAGAGCAAAATGCAAACGTCCTGGGGAACTAAGCAAGGCCCGTGACACTCCCGGCTGCTCTGGAGTAGCTGACACACTCAGGAAAAGGGGGAAGGGGAAAGGGTGAGACCAGAGAAAGAGAGTGGGGCCAAAGCAGGGAGAGCGAGTTCGGAAGAATGGGACCCAGAGAGCGAGTTCGGAAGAATGGGACCCAGAGAGCTGGATGCGGGAAGGGCCCACCTGTCCCGGACCACAGCGATGCTGACCCAGGCCGAGCGTGGCTGTGCACCACGCTGAGGACACTCCTACAACAGAGACGTGCAGAAGTCTCAGGAGGCAGGGGAACAGCATGAAGGGAGCGGGGTGCCTGGATCCATCTGGTGGCCTCTCCCACAGAAGGTTAAGTGGGCAGCCAGTTCTAGGGGCTGGGAGAGCTAACGAAGCCGGCTCCCAGAGCGGCCAAGTCCACCTTGCACAAGCCGCTGTACTTAGGGCCCACGGGCCAAGAATGGAGCCTCGGGGCCGACTCTGAAGTCTGTGCTTCCTCTATCCCAAAAACACAACCGCATCCCGCATTACCTAAGCAAAGGAAAATGTTTATTCCACTAAATATCTGCATCTCGGCCAAAGAAGTAGTTCCCATCCCTTGCCATGTTCACTACAGCAAACACTACGCTACATGCGGGGCACAGAATGTAAGGAAATACAAAGTCCTGGCTCCAAGGAGCTTACAGTCTGCTTGAGACAAACATGCAATACAGCTTTCAGGGGGTAAGCACAGAATGCTGGGCACCTCAAGGTGGGAATCCCGACCCAGGCTTTAGAAGCCATCAACAGTCTCCCAGGAGAGGACATTTGCGTTGGCTTCTATGAATGACAGCAGCTGGCCAGGTGAAGAGGGGCCCACATATTAATACCGGGCCGGTTGTCACCTCTTTCCAGGGCTCTCTCATGTTTTCTCCTTAACCAACTTTCCTGCACTACTTAATAATTCCTAGAGCTTCTCAAGAACACTATGCCCAACTCCCCCCAAACCAGGAGCTTTTCTCCAAAGGACAAGTCAAAGGACTCTCGTCCTCGCCTTTCACCTCTAAAATCCCATTCTAGAGTTCTCGTTGGTTCTGCCAATGGAATGTTTTTTCACAAACGTGGATGAACACACAGAGATCACACATTTATATATTATGTCCCACAGCAAAGAAAATCTGATCCAAAAGTCAGTACAAATAATAAGATACAGAAGACTGAAAATTTTAAACCATGCCCTTTTCCCCTCACCACACTGTAAGCTCAGTGAGGGCAGGGCCTGCGTATCTATTTTGTTCACTGCTAGTTCTCTAGTACCTAGAACATTACTCGGGACTGTAAGCACTCAATATACAATTGGTGAGTGAGTAAATGAATATCATGAATTAAATGTTGAAATACATCAATCAACCTCTTTTTCTGAAAGAGCGAGCACGAGTGGGGGAGGGGCAGAGAGAGGGAGACACAGAATCTGAAGCAGGCTCCAGGCTCCGAGCTGTCAGCACAGAGCCCGATGCAGAGCTCGAACCCATGAACCTGAGATCATGACCTGAGCCAAAGTCAGATGCTTCACTGACTGAGCCACCCAAGTGTCCCTGTCAACATCTTGATAATCACGCAATGTACATCTTTTTGCCAGTCTTAAGTTTTTCTAAATATTTTTTCTTGATTTAGAATATGTTCATTATAAGAAATCTCAAAAACCACATACGCTCCCACTACTCAAAAAGAACTACTGATAATACGTAGGTTGTGTAGCATCCAGCTGTTTTCCTGTATACCACCCCCCTTCCCATCCCGGCTTGGGCGCACACGCACACACACGTGCACACTCTCGAGCTTCAAAAGCACAGCAGTGGCAGTGACAGGAAGCTCACCTACTGTAATGACGGAACACAATTAAGTCTGAGATGGCTTACAGACGGTCTGCTCCGGAAAGAGGCTAATGAGGGAGGCCATCCACACCGCACGCTGAAGCTGGTTTCTGTTCTCCTTGCAGAGAGGCCTTGTCCAGAAGCACAAGTGCCTGACGCTCGCTCGCACGGAGAGGAGCGGCCGTGACACGACACTATAAATCAGAACGTGTCGTCGCCGGATCGAGTCCTGTCTTCTGATGCCAAGAACCCATCACTGCCCACTGCACACGCCTTTCGCTGGGATTCTAAACTAAGCTATGCTTTGTGATAACCACTTCAGTTGGTAAAAAAGTACAAAAACCTGGTGATGACAGGAGAGATGATAAAAACTCTCCTTTAATAAAAACTAGGAAGAAGAGGTCAACTAACCACAGTAGTACAAGATTTAAGGTAAAACCAACAGTTTAAATAAAGAGGGAAGTTCAAGTAAATCAGTAAATCAAAAAGCAACACAAAGGAAATTTAATTTTTCTTATATGTTCCGAAGAACTTTAAAAAAAAAAAAAAGCTTTATCGGGGCACCTGGGGGGCTCAGTCTGTTAAGCGTCCAACTTTGGCTCAGGTCATGGTCTCACAGTTCATGGGTTTGGGCCCCGCATCAGGCTCTGTGCTGATAGCTCAGAGCCTGGAGCCTGTTTCGGATTCTGTGTCTCCCTCTCTCTCTGCCCCTCCCCCTGTTCACACTGTCTCTCTCTCTCAGAAATAAATTGAAAAAAAAAAAAAGCTTCAGAACTATTTAAAACTATGTGCTGGGTACTACAATGTACATATTAAAATAAACCTCTCTTTTTTGAAGATGAAGAAAGTAAGGCTTAGGGAGCATTTAGTATCTTGCTGATTTAAAATTCATTTCTAAAAAGGAAAAGGAATTCAAGCATAGCCAAGGCACTTTTGAAACAGAACAATACAAGGGAGTTTCCCCCAGCAGGTACCAAAACATACTAGGAAGCTATATTAATAAATTATATGGTGTGGGCCCAGGAGTAGACATAGAGCTTGATGCAAACAAAAGTCTAGAAAGAGATATAAATACATATGAAAATCTGGTATATGATAAAGGTGGCATTTCAGAGCTGTGTAAAAAAGAATGAACCGGCAGTGTAAATGGTAGCCAGTTCTGGTTCCTAACTGTGTAACTTTGGGCAAGGTACTTAACTGCTCTGTGCTTCAGTTTCCTCACCTATAAAAACAGAGATGTGTGTTAAAATTAAGTTTTCATTAATAAAGAAAATTTCCAGGCATGAAGCACATTCTTAATAACTGTCAAACAGAAAGGGGAAGAAGAGAAAGGTTTACTGAGTTAACCAAGAAACAAAGTCAAATCTGAGTCTGAGGCCAAGCACAAAGATAAAGCCCTTCACAAATAAAAGGACTAAATTTTAAAAGGTTTAACAGACATAGAGATCAATGGAACAGAACAGAGAACCCAGAAATGGACCCACAAATATATGCATGGCCAACTAATCTTTGACAAAACAGGAAAGAGTATGCAACAGAGAAAAGTCTCTTCAGCAAATGGTGCTGGGAGAATTGGACAGCAATATCCAGAAGAAGGAAACAGGACCACCTTCTTACACATAAACAAAAATAAACTCAAAATGGATAAAGGACCTGAATGTGACACAGGAAACCATCATAACCCTAGAGGAGAAAACAGGCAACAACCTCTTTGACCTTGGCCACAGCAATTTCTTGCTCAACACTTCTCCAAAGGCAAGGAAATTAAAAGCAAAAATGAACTAATGGGACCTCATCAAGATAAAAAGCTTCTGCACTGCAAAGGAAACAATCAACAAAACGAAAAGGCAACTGACAGAATGGGAAAACATATCTGTAAATGACATATCAGATAAAGAGTTAGTATCCAAAATCTAAAATAAACCTACGAAACTCAATACGTGAAAAACAAATGATCCCGTGAAGAAATGGGAAGAAGACATGAATAGCAGAAGACATGAATATTTTTCCAAAGACGACATCCAGATGGCCAACAGACACATGAAAAGATGTTCAACGTCACTCATCATCATCAGGGAAATACAAATCAAAACCACACGGAGATACCACTTCACACCAGTCAGAGTGGCTAAAATTAACAACTCAGGAAACAACTAATGTCGGCAAGGATGTGGAGGAAGGGGAACCCTCTTACACTGTTGGTGGGAACGCAAACTGGGGCAGCTGCTCTGGAAAACAGTGTGGAGGTTCCTCAAAAAATTAAAAATAGAACTATTCTACGACCCAGCAGAAACACTACTAGGATTTATCCAAGGATACAGGAATGCTGAATCATAGGGGCACATGCACTCCAATGTTTAAAGCCACACTTTCAACAAGAGCCAAATTATGGAGAGAGCGCTAATGTCCATCAACTCATGAGTGGATAAAGAAGATGTGGTTTATCTATACAATAGAATACGACACGGCAATGAGAAAGAATGAAATCATGCCATTTGTGGCAACGTGTATAGTACTGGAGAGTATTATGCTAAGTGAAATAAGTCAAAGTCAGATATCATGTTTACACTCATCTGTAAACTTGAGAAACTTAACCGAGGACTATAGGGGAAAGGAAGGGGAAAAAATAGATACAGAGGAGGGGGACAAGCCACAAGAGATTCCTAAATACAGAGATCAAACTGAGGGTTGATGGGGGGGTGGGCAGAGGAGATGGGAAAATGGGTGGTGGGCACTGAGGGGGGCACTCATTGGGATGAGCACGGGGTGTTATATGTAAGCAATGAATCATGGGAATCTACCTCCAAAACCAAGAGCACACTAACACTGTATGTTCACCAATTTGACAAATTAGATTTTAAAAAATAATGAATACATACACACAAATATTTTTATGGGCACCTGGATGGCTCATTCGTTTAAGCATCCAGTTAAGCATCTGACTCTTGATTTCAGCTCAGCTGATCTCATGGCTTGCATCAGGCTCTGCGCTAACAGTGGGGGACCTACTTGGGATTCTCTCCCCCTCCTCTCAAAGTAAATAAATAAACTTAAATAAATATTTTTAAGAGAGCAAACTTTTTACATCTGTTTTTTAGGAGCACTCAGTCAAGTGGCATCCGACTCCTGATTCTGGCTCTGGTCATGATCCCAGGGTCATGGGATTGAGCCCCACATCAGGCTCCATGGGCAAGTAGCGTCCTTATGATTCTCTCTCCCTTTGCCCCTCACTCCCACGCACACACACCGTCTCTCTCTCTCAAAATTAAATAAAAATTTTGAAATAAAACCTGTTTTTTAATCATGGAGCTAAAAAGGGCTTCCTACATACGACATGAAAAAGCAAACGAAAAATAGCAACAGATCCAACTGTACCAAAACTGAAAAATCTCTGTATGACGGAGAAAATACAGTCAACCTGTGTAACAAAGGATAAATATCCAGAGCGTATCGATCGCTCTTCCAAGTCAAAAAGACAGATGCAGACAAAACAGAAAGGTGGACAAACACAAATGAGCCGTGAGCAGACGCAAAGCTGCCCGGCTTCACCAGGAAATGAGGAATGTAAATTACAACGGGGGACCACTCTCACTATCAGATTAACAAGAATTTAAGAAACTGATACTATCAAGTATTGGCAATGGAGTGGAAAACAGAAAATCTTCTAATCTGTTGTGGGAAGCAAAATTGGTATGCCTTCTGGGTGAGCAACCTGGCAATTAAAAAACTGAAATACCTCTTTCAACCGAGCGATCCCATTATAGGTGCCTGCCCTACAAAAACACTCACGAACACCGACAGGGTCATGGACAAGGGCACGCTGACTGTCAGCATGCATCTGTTATGTTAAAATATGGCAAATCCTTAACAGGCAATGATGTGATCACATGTTTAAGAGGGGGGAAAATGTGGTTTTATGTGTGTGGCTCTCAACCCTAGCCACACTTCCGAATCACCTGATGTTTGTTTTTTTTAAATAGAAGTCAGAGCCCCACCCGGCCCCAGAGATTTGGACTTAATTGGTTTGGGTGGAGGAAAGGCACTGTTAACTTTTTAAAAGCTCCCAGGTGGTGCTGATAGGAAGTAAGTCAAGGCTGAACACTACTGATCTGCACGGACTCGGGAAGTATTGCAAGACACTAAGTTTAAAAAAAGAAATTGTACAGCCATATGAACAATGTTATAATATTCAAGTTTTTAAAATTTTTTTTTAATGTTTTATTTCTGAGAGAGAGAGAGAGAGAGAGAGAGACAGGGTGAGCAGGGGAGGGGCAGAGAGAGCGGGAGACACAGAATCCAAAACAGGCTCTGAGCTGTCAGCACAGAGCCCGACACGGGGCTTGAACCCATGAACCGCAAGATGAAGTCGGACGCTCAACCGACTGAGCCACCCAGGTGCCCCACAAGGTTTTTTTTAAGTTATATATGTAAAAAACATATAATCATTACATGGACATATGTGCATATATTTGTGTTCATATCTGTGTGTGCGTGCATGCATCCCCTCCACCCTACCGCACATAAGACAGTACAGGACACATACCCCGAGCTGACAACAATATTCACTTCTTGGAAAGCGGGGGATGCGCAGGTGTCGGCACAGATCTATGGGAACACTGGATCCATCCAGATTGTTTAATACTTCAATAACGTACTTATTACTTATCAAAAATGGATTTTGGGAGACGCCTGGGTGGCTCAGTCGGTTGAGTGTCAGACTTTGGCTCGGGTCACGATCTCACGGTCCGTGGGTTCGAGCCCCACACTGGGCTCTGTGCTGACAGCTCAGAGCCTGGAGCCTGCTTCTGATTCTGGGTCTCCCTCTCTCTCTGACCCTCCCCCACTTGCGCACACACTCTCCCTCTCTGTAAAATAAGTGAGCATTAAAAAAAAAATAAAGAAACAATTTTTTAAACATACACTAGCAGAATGCTACTGACTTTGCTCCAGTATGAAACAGGAGAAGCTAACGAACCCTGGTGCAGTCTGATCTCCTGACCTAACTGGGCACCAACGGGACGCTTCCATCTCCACACCTGAATTATTTTCATTGACATCAACTAAGTGGATTAAATTTTAAATTGCTGAAAATCAGATTGTACTTAACTGAAATCTATAAAACGCTCTGGCCCAGTGCTCTGTTAGCAGGGTCCTCGGGGCCCGGTCGGCCTTTGTCGGGGCCCCTCACCCGGCCCCACCACCACTACCACGGTCACTGATTTCAATAGGGTTTGCAAACGAAACAACTCACAGATTTAAGAAAAGAGACATTCATTTTTACAAATGAGGGAAATAAAGGGAAAAGCTAGGAAAAGGGAGCAGCAAAGAACCACCGGCTTGTGCTGATGGAGCGAGTGGCCGCAGTGCTCTGGAGTGCCGGCCAGAACGCAGGCAGCAGCGGCTGCCTCTCTCACAGCCACTCCCTGCCCTTCCCCACCAACAGAGCCCTGTCTGCACGGGAGGTCACAGCGTGACCCCAGCCTCTGCTGCAGACAGACGCGGCCGGGCGCTGTGGTCCTGCGCTAACAGGTGTGCAGAAGGAAAGTCTGTCCGAGAGACACAGGCCTGGCTGGCTGGCCCTTCCACTCCTTCCCTTTTGTCCCGGCCTTTCCCTTCCCACATCACAGATGGCATGGCTGCCGCGCTCGCATCCATGAACAAGGAGGAAGGGTCACACCTAAGAATGCCGAGCCTGGGTCCCCGCAGCCCCCATGGCATTACAAAACCCCCTCCGGGCTGCCTTACGTCTACACTTCTGGCTACGGGAGAGAAAAAGATAAAGCGTCTATTTATTTGGGCTATCTGTTATATGCAGCCAAACCTAAACCTTAAATAACACAGAGAGGCAATCGTAGATAAACCCAGCAGATTCAAGACCAGGATACGGAATACAAAATGGCACAGACTGCAAACTATGGCCTGCAGCAGGCCGGATGCAGCCACAACCACTGTTTCATGCATTCCCCATGGCTGCTTCTGGGCAACAACAGCAGAGCTGAGTGTTTGCAATAGAGACCCAGAGACCACCACGTGGCCCACCGAGCTGGAAAGAGTCACTGTTTGACCTTTCACGGAAAACATTTGTTGGCTCTTATGGTAGAGAGTCCACTAGCGGTTACAGCAACACCGGGAAGTAAGGCTATCTCCCCGGTACCACTGCGCACCCCTACCCCTCCAGAGCCAAAACAGCACCCCTCACCAGCTGGGGTAAAGACTCCCGGTACTTGTTATTTAACTGGTTCACGAAGCATCGGATGATCCAGTAACAGTCGACACTGTCCTCTACCATCTCTTCCACAGCTTTGGCAATGGCAAGAAAGACTTCATCTTCTGGCTCCTGAAAGATTAATAATCAATCTCCGGTTAAAGGGAGGGAGCCAGCAGAAAAGAGGAATACCTATTTCTTTGGTAAAAATGAAATCTCACCCCCTAACTTTTGAAGAGGCTGCATTAATAAATCAAAGTGGAACCGAAAAGCACACAGCCCATGACTAAAGAGAAGAAGGCAGAGATAAGGATGGGTGACCTGAGAAATCTATCTGGATCAGTGGTGCTTACGACTGCCCAGGTTTCAGTTTAAGCACTTGGAGATCTTCCGCTTCTAACATTTAAGGTCATCAAAGAAAACACAAATCATAAGCAAAGTGCGGACTCTCTCCACCCAAAAATATTCTCAGGGCTAGAAGAGAATTTCTTTCAAAAGGATGTGATAAACATCATAAACAGTAACTTGGAGACGTTTGTTAATACAGTAATTTACAAAAAATCAAATGACTCCAAAAAGACTAATAAAGCATTTTCCTTATTGCAAAGCATTCACATATACCTTTAGAATTCTGTTCTATCTTTAAGCAACTCGTAAGTTAAAATGTCCCTGGAATTAGAATTTTAGGAATCGGAAAAATGGCATTTCTCAAACCTTGTGTCAATACTCAAAATATGAACATAAACCGTCAAGTAAATTTCAACAAAGTAATCTTATAAAAACTAGAATCTACTAAAATCTATTTTGTTTTCAAACACTGTATCTTACACACAATTACGTTTCCATCGAGGATTTAATAGCCAAAGGATTCTCGTATTAAAAAGAAACTATGAAGCATCTTTCTACTCCTCTTAAAGGCCCCAAATTAAATCAAAATTCCTATTTTAATAAAAGCATTTCATTTTAGGTCTCAATTTGTTAATATTCGAGAAAACGTCAGGAGTAACAGAATCAGAGAATGTAACGTTTTCTAAACAGGAGGGAGTGTGTCGGAGGGAGAGAGAGAAGACGGGAGAAGAGGGCGGGACGGCCTCCCTGCCCGGACTCCTGCTCGGTGCTGGGCTCTGCGCTGGGCGCTCCTGAACGTGGCAGCTCGTGGCTCCGGGGCTCTCTGAGAGGCCGGGGGGGGGGGGGGGGGTGGAACCAATGTCCTCGGCTGTGTTCCCAGCCCTGTGTCAGGCACAGTCACATGCTCCACCGTACAGGAACACCAGCGAGGCTGAGTGGGGCTCGACGACTGGGGAGACGTGGGGTGGCAGGACCAACCCCAACGCAGGCCGCACATCTGCCCCAGGCCACAGGGGCGTCCGGCTGGCTGAGCCGGCGTGAAACCCATCACTTAGGTTTCCTGAGCTAATAGACAGTCTAACCTCATTTAACGTATCGTTTAAGAGCCTGTAGAATACTATCAACTTCACTTTGCCAGAGATAAAAGTTTAAAGGAGTTTGTTAAGAGTTCCAGTTACTTTCAAGCCTGTTCTCTCTTGATACACTTAACAAAAGCAGACAACCTAAGGTCTGTCCGTGGGGACATCATTAAGCTCAAAAAGAACGAACAAGTCAAAACTCTCAAAGTGCTATACTGGTAGGCAGGAAACTGCAATTAAAAAAAAAAAAAAGCTTTGGGGGGGGTGCACCTGGGTGGCTCAGTTGGTTGAGCATCTGACCTTGGCTCAGGTCATGATCTCATGGTTCGTGGGTTTGAGCCCCGCGTCGGGCTCTGTGCTGACAGCTCAGAGCTTGGAGCCTGCAGCCTGCTTCAGATTGTGTCTCCCTCTCTTCTCCTCCTGTGCTGAAGCTTTCTCTTTCTCTCTCAAATACACATTTTAAAAATAATTTAGAAAATGATAAAAATAAGCTTTGGGGCACCTGGGTGGCTCAGTCGGTTGAGCGTCTGACTCCGGATTTTGGCTCAGATCCTGATCTCAAGGTTCATGAGTTCAAGCCCCACACTAGGCTTGCACTGATGGTGCAGAGCCTGCTTGGGAGAGTCTCTCTCTGAGCCCCTCCTACATGTGCGTGTGCACAGGTATGCACTCTTTCTCTCAAAAATAAATAAACTTTAAAAAAATGTTTTGTAGACTAGCACAGCTTGCAAGTAAATCCCAATTGTGAGCAATCACTGTTTTCGCCACACACACACACAGTTAAAATGCCAAAAATGAATTTCGAGCTGGATTACAACAGCCAAAGCCCAAGAGCTATCATCATCCCTTTGCTGGAACTTCTCCTCTTCCCTGTCTTCTCCCCTCACGAACAGCAAGCAGGCCAAGTAACGAGAGTAAGGGCCTGTGGACGATGGAAGTTCAGAAAGCATGTTGTGGTGCTGGTTACTAGACAAATGAGCAGATCGGGAGGCGTACTAAGGGAGGACTGGAGCATTTCGTATTTGCACCTGTCAGACGAGGGACTTGCACACACGGGAGGGTGAAGGCCAGAGGAGCTGGCGGTACTGGACTGGAATCAGAAGGGACAGTGTGAACAGGGGGCTTTCAATACTCAGGGACAGACATATAGACCTACACGGGGGGGTGTGAAAGTGTGCGGACCACTCTATATACTCAGAGAAGGTACACGTATGTCCTAGCTCGTCCACTGTCAGGACCCAGAAGCAACCACACACCAGCAACAACAAGCACATCTACTGCCCTGTAAAACCACACTTTACTCAAAATAGAAATGGCTGGTTTTAGACTTTGGGTAGAGAAAATACAAGATGAGTCTGGAATACCTTTTTGTGCCAGAGGGTACGGAAATGCTCAAAATGATGGGAACTTGTCGTAAAGAGAGAGCAGTCAGTCTGAAGGGGCTCCCACTGACCCAATCTGAGACAAGTTGAACATCAAAAAATAACAGTAGTAATGGATTACAGGCCGTTGAATAAAAGAGGAATCCATAAACCCATTCTGACATAAGCAAATAAATGAGGGAAAAGGGAAAACCCTTCCTTATAAAAAAAAAATGCCAATTAATAAATGCAGAAGGAAGAAGCAGTTAGAAAATCACCAGCTGGCAATCAGCATGGTAAAAATTGTTTCAGGGAGGAACCATTAGTGGATGGACATTTACTTGGTCTCAAAGCCATCTCCTCACAAATTACTTATTAATTACAAAAGGAAAAATAATAATCTTACACTGAAGAAAAAGGGCCGACACCACTTCAAGCAAGCGATCAAAGTCAGCGGCAACAGTAATTAAGTACTGTATGTCTGCAGTATTCCTGCCAAAAACTCATAATCAGATTTTAATCATGAGGAAAGAGCAAATGAACCCAAACTAAGACATGCTCTACTGCCCAGCACTTTTCAGATGGGTCAAGGTCATGACAGACAAAGGAACTTTTTCCAGATGAAAGGAGGGTAAGATGTAGCAATAAATGCTGCCTCTGAGCCCACACTGGCTTCTGGACCCAGAAAAGGAAAGCTGTAGAGCGTTCAACAGGTTCATGTTATTTTATCAATGATGATTTTCTGGGTTTGATAATTATGTAAGATGAAATATTTGAGGACACTAGGTAAAAGTACATGGGAACACTATACTATCTTTGCAAGTTTATCTATTTCTAAAATAATTTTTTTTTAATATATTTATTTATTTCTAGGAGAGAGAGATAGACAGCGTGAGCAGGGTAGGGGCAGAGAGAGACGGAGACACAGAATCTGAAGCAGGCTCCAGGCTCTGAGCTGTCAGCACAGAGCCCGATGCGGGGCTTGAACCCACAAACTGCGAGATCATGACCTGAGCCAAAGTCGGATGCTTAACCGACTGAGCCACCCAGGTGCCCCTAAGATAATTTTTAAATAAAAGAGTTGAAACATTTAAAATATTTTTTAAATCATCAACAAAGGTTAACACTAGTGGGTGAAAGTTTGGTAAGAAAGTCTGATAAGTTCTGAACAAAACTTACTGTTGGTTTGTGATAAAGAGCATTATTGGGACAACTGGTCAAATGTGAATGGAGTCCGAAGATCAGATCTTAATACCGTATCAATGTAAACTTTCTGGTTTCGATGATTATATTATGGTTATCCTATGGTTATGTAGTGGAGTGTTATTTTCTTTAGGAAGTATATACAGAAGGAACTTGAAGTAATGGAATATCATGTCTGCATCTTATCTTCATATGGTTTAGAAGAAAACACATATATATATCACGGGAAAAATGACAAAGCAAACACAGTAAGATATTAATGATGGGGAAACTGGGGTAAAGAGCACATAGGAATTCTTGGTGGTATCCTTGCGAGTCTGTAGTTATTTCAAAATAAAATGTATTTTTAAAAATTAGACAGATTGAGCCGAGTGTGCAGGGCCACAAATGCCAGGGAAAGACAATGTATTGCTTTTATTGCCCAGAGAGACGAGAGCCACAGAGAGTTTCTAAGGCAAAATATGATGCGGTCAAAGGCCGGCAGGACGGGACAGTCTAGACTTGAACTAAGTGTTAGACAAAAGCACCACTAACCAGTGGAAAGGAAGGACTTCGAGGCAACTTCCCACACTCCAGCTGGTACATGCGGAGATAGACTTCAACCTGAGGCGTGGCCTCACTGACAAAGCGAACGACTTTCAGGGCGTGGAGGATGTCACCGTACTGCTCCTTGCGCCACAGCATCACCTGGGCGTGGGACTCGTGGTGGGGAGGCAGGATCCCTGTATGGAGACCGAGGCGGGGAAAGAGAGTGCAAAATACTGAGACGCAACCTCAAATCCCTCCACTACTGGAGAGAATCAAGGGGGAAGCTGCCCCTTACGATCAGACTAGAATCACGGATATTTAATTACCTACCATATGGATTCTGCTTCGGAAATTCTCTCTATAAAACAATCTTAAATTTTAAGTACTATCAATATGTCAATGGCAAGTGCACCACCGATATTTAAGAGAAATGAAAGGGCATCAGAAGGCCCTTGCACAAGTGTGCCGCCTCAGCTGCAGACAGCCACATCAGTCATCACGATGATGTCCCTCAATGTTCGGTTGTGGGCCTGGGGCCCCCATCTGCTCCCACGGACCCATCTCCAATTCTTGCACTTTGCCCGTGCCAGGCACTGAACTGTTCCCCCCAAAGTGCGTATGTTAAAGCTCCAGCCTCAATGCGCCTAAATTTGGAGTCAGGACCTAAAAGGAGCGGGGTTGGAAGGCTGGCCTGTAACCCAACAGAGCTCGGGCCCTTACAAGAGAAGGAAGAAATACCAGCACTTGTGGTCTCTCTCTGCCATGTGGGGACGGGCGGGGGTGGTGGCCATCTACCAGCCACGTGAGGCCTCACCAGGACCCACACCAGCCAGCACCTGAGCTCGGATCTCCCAGCCTCCAGAACCGTGAGAATACGAAGTGTCGTGGAAGCAGCCTGGTCTGTGCTATTTAGCTATGGCTGCCCTCGCTAACCGTACAGGCCCCTCATCTCAGGACCAGCAACGACTCTTCAAATCTTTCTCTTCCCCATTGATCAAATCTTGCTCACAGAGTAGCTGAGCTGCAGGACCACAGAGATCTCGGATTTTCACTGACAAGGCCAATGTACATTGTATTCTGACGCCATTTAATGCTGACTCACTCAAACATGTCTACCTATGAGGTGTGGGGGCAAAAACCACCTTTTTTTTTTTTTTTTACAAACAAATGGCATGGAAAAAACACAGTGGAAAGAGCACTGGACAGGCCCTCAGTAAATGCAGGTTGTACTCCCAGGCCTGAGGCACCAGGACTGTCACAAATGGCTCTATGGCTCTCTGGGAATTCATTTCCTCAGCTGTCAGAGGTGGGAGATGGGTAAGCATGGCACCAAGGGTTCTCTGGACAACACTGGCCCCAAAAGCCTGCATGAGAAAAAGGATCCCAGGATCAAATAGACTTGAAAAATGGTGACAATGAACCTTCAAGGTTTTAAATTCTGCTATTAAAAAAACAAATCTTGGGGTGTCTGGGTGGCTCAGTCGGTTAAACGTCCGACTTCAGCTCAGGTCATGATCTTGCATTTTGTGGGTTCGAGCCCTGGAGCTTGTTACAGATTCTGCGTCTCCTTCTCCCTGCCCCTCCCTCACTTGTACTCTGTCTCTGTCTCTCAAAAATAAGTAAATGTAAAAGAAAATGTTTTTAACCGTATTTATTCCGGCCTCATTAAATGTAAGAAGGCTGTATAGGGACAGAGACTCTGGAGTCAAAGTTCCTGGGTTTGAACTCTAGCTTTGCCATTAACTGGCCGGATGACTGTCAGCCCCTTACTCAATCTCTGCTTCTCCATCTGAAAAATGAGACTAATAATATCTGTGTCATACAGTTATTATAATGAATTAAAAATCATATAAAGTGCTTGGAAAGCACACAGCACACACTAAGCTAGTGTAGATATTAGCTGTACACTGATAAGGATCACTCTTTTAGTATACACCACAGATCCAGTATTCTGAAGGACACTCTGGGAAACAAACGGTGGATGAGCGCCAAAGACTTGCGCTAATACGACGCCATGTTGACATCAGAACGTAACTCACTTAAATGTCCCTTGTCCTGACATAAAGCTTTAATTACCTTAGCTCTGGGGTTCTGTGCCAGGCTCCCCTGAAAGCCAAGGGAATACACTAAAACGCCCTCCAAATCGGGTCTAATAAAGAGTAAACAGCTGTAACTGAACCCTCCTCACACTGATGGAGGCAGCACAGCGTCTCCCGTGTTTGGCCTCAAACTAAGAGCTGGTTCTAAAGTCCTGACCGTCGCCCGAAACGGTACGAGGAAGCAGGCCTGACGAGGCCCCTGAGTATGAACGCCTGTGCTGGGAAGAGTCGGCCGGCCTCCTCCTGTAGCACGGCGGCTCCAAATCTCCAGTGTCTTCACCACAAACGAACAACAAGGACTTGCCTGATAAAGGCAAGTGGGGAAAACAGAGGTGACCAACAAGCCTGGACACTCACAAGGTGTCACAAAGCACATCTGTACGTCTCCCTCTCAATCTGTTGGTGTTAGTAGCTAATATGACACAGAGTGTCTCCCAGCAGAAGCATAGTGTCCACGTCCCTGGGAGGCATTTACTTTGATGGTCGCTGGAAACATCAAGATTTAAGAAAAATGCTCAGGGGAAAAGCTACACTCGTTGATGCCTGCTCTCTGGCCATTAGCTGTACTGTCCCCCACCAGAAATACGCATGCTCAAAGACTTTCAGGATGCACAAGGCATTACACTTTCTAGAACGGACTGTACTCCCTCGCTGCCTCCACGTTACATAGTCAGACTCATAATCAGACTTAGGACCGCAGATTTCTCCAAGTCCCGCGAACACGGCGCGTTTCGGAAAGAGAACGAGGCCTTCCGTCTCGCCTACCTTCAAACGGGCTCCACGAACCGAAGCTCCAGGCCTAGCTCTGCCACTTACAGACTCGAAGGCCTCAGGCAAGGCCCTGAGCCTTGTGGTCTTCTTCCCCATCTGTCAAACCAGGATATGAATACCTACCTCACAGGAGAATTCGGGGATCACTCAAACTGTTAAGTTTGTTTAGGTGAGAAAGGCAAGGAGGATGGCCGGGGCGGAAGTGGGGGGAGGGGCGGGGGAGCGTACGCATCAGCAGGCTCAGCAGTCAGAAAGGAAAAACCGATTGGCTCAGAGGGATGCTGCCCGGCCCCTGAGGCACCTAGTACACTCTCCCTCCCACAGAAACCACAGGCCCATTTCTGCTTCAGCCCCTCTTCACTGGAATGTGTCCATTTACACTTCAGTTTCTTTCTGACTCTGATAGCACTTGTTGGAAGTTAGACCTCTACAGTCGGGAATCACAGAAGTAACTAATCGAGAGCTACAATCTACGAGTTAATTTAGCTCAACAGGCCCATTTTACAGGTGCAAAAGCCGAGGCCTAAGCCGGGGTCCTCCTCGAGGTTACCCAGCTGACAGCGAAGCCCAGACCAGCTCCTTCTCCAGCACCAGGCTCTTCCTGCACCGCATTTCAGGAACCCACCTTACTGTCTCTTCTATTATTACTAAACGGACAGTCTTAGAGCAATATTTAATGTCCTGCTACTGAAGTCACCTTCTTAAAGGCTTTCACAGTGAGCAATCATTCAGCCTCCTGAGATCGGGCCCAACAGGCAGTAAAGGGCCTAGAAAAAATCCTCCTTTTCCTGACTGATAAGATGACAAACATCCCATCATTCAACATTTCTGAAGATAAACCTCCCAACTCTTGAGCCTCATACCTAGAAGCACCTTCCACACCAACGCACGGTACATGGACGGGAGAGGGAATCTCTGACTGAAAGTACAAAGCTTCTCGATATCTAGAGGAAGGAAAAAAGAACAACTGGTTAGAAGCTTTTTATGCTGATCACAAGAAAGTGCATTTTTCTTTTTTTAAAGAATAGTAAGACACTTCTCCAGAGGCAGTCTACTACAATCAGTAAACCCGGGAAACCCAGCTGGTCTGATCTGTGACCCCGGCGTTCCAGCAACTAGCTACTTGAAGACCATCAGAGCTTCTCAGCCCAGGAGATGCACTTTACGTGCATGCCTGCCTTCCCTGGGACAGCAGCGGTAGTTACTATTTACAGAATTTATTTCAATGAATCCACACTGCAAGCTTGTCGAGTAGTTATTGTTTTAAGGCTGCGGAAACTGAGCCTCCAAGCAGGTAAGTGACCTGATTTATAGTTAGCAGAGCCAGGGAGTGGCACGCTCAGCCCCTGGATCCCCGCATTCTCCAGTGACCCACGCTCGGCTGTCCTGGATTTCCATTCCCCGTGGTCGTCGAATTCCAGACATGCTTAAAACACAAGGATCAGGTGGGAAATGGTTTTGAAATTTTAAACGCACTCCGCGCATCTAAAGTACTATTTATACCTATGGTTCCGTTTGTCTTACTTTAGTCAGCAGAATTATTATTACTACACAGCAACTAAGATGTCAATACATAATGTAGTCTCACAGTATTTCCACTGGAGAAAAATCGTGGCAAGAGTTACAAATGTACCCAGAAGATAACACCTCTGAAAACTGAGGAAATACATATGGGTCTAATATGAGAAGAAATATCGCTGACTTTTTTTTTTTTATTTCTAGGAGAGAGAGAGAGACAGCACGAGCAGGGGAGGGTCAGAGAGAGAGGGAGATACAGACTCCGAAATAGCCTCCAGGCTCTGAGCTGGCAGTCAGCACAGAGCCCGACGCGGGGCTCAAACGCACAAACTGCGAGATCATGACTTAAGCGAAAGTTGGACACTTAACCGACTAAGCCACCCAGGCGCCCCAAAATATCGCTGACTTCTTACCAGTCCTCTCAAAGACATCCAACTTGGCCACAGCAAATATAAGCTTGAAAAATCCATAACCTCTCCCCAAATACACCATTTACCTATCATCCTGTCACTAAAAAATACGGCAGGTAACAAATACTTCTGAATGTCTTTTAAGATAGCATTTCTTTCAAGGTAGCTGGGACAACTAACAGCCAATAACCTTAATTTAACTTGGAAAACTCACCCAGCCGGTCATCTTTTAGTAGAATCTCCAATGATTTCTTTTCTTCCACTCCACGAAACCCCACTTTCTCATAATACACTGAACGGAAGTTTCTCTGAGAGTCCTCAGTCATGTTTCATTCTTGGAGGAGAGAGAGAGAGAGAGAGAGTAGGGAGGGGGAAAGAGTGAGCTTAAAAACAGAGACTGGACAATTTGGGCATTTTTCCAATGATTTTCTCCAACTTCCCCATGAACTCAATATATGAAAATGAACTAGCTGCCTTTGCATAGGACTCAACATTAAATATATTTCTTTAATATTATTCATGAGTGAGTGAGAGAGAGAGAGAGAAAGAGAGAGAATACCAAGCAGGCTCCACAATGTCAGCACAGAGCCTGACACAGGGTTTGACCTCACAAACCATGAGATCATGACCTGATTGGAAATCAAGAGACATTTAAATGACTGAGCCACCCAAGTGCCCCTAAATGCATCCTTTTAAACAACTAACACTACCTCACCTATGTTCCTTGGCCAAAACCCAAGACATAAAACCGAAGTCCTCTGAGCCACTAAAATAGATTTCACAAGGTGCATGCATGCAGTCTCCTACTTTACTTATGGGAGTTCCTAGCACGATACACATTCAAAGAAAATAACTAGTGAAATACAAGGACACAAGATGTCATGCAAAAGGGGTTACCGAACAGTAACCACTAGGAATTCTGTTTTGGCTTTATAAATATTATGCATTAAAAACATAAAACTATATTCTAAAATGTTGGCGATGTGTCATCGGCAGGTAGTAGGATTCCAGGTGATTTAAATTTCCTTTCGTTTGCTTAGCCGTATTTTCAAATGAGCTTTTGTGAAATGAAAAGCTAAACTGTAAAAAAGTAAAAAGCCACAAGTGTCTCCCTTAGTTTTCCTTTAAACACAATCCTCCCAAATTCAGTTATCGAAAATTCAGAGCCCACAACAGACTAAGAGCGCTGAACTGTAAACCAGAAGAGGGGCAGGAGTGCAGCCTGTCGACAAATGATGCCACCGAGCTGGAGACAAAATAACGACTTAAAATCTGGCGGGGGCGGGGGGGGGGGGGGGGC